ATTCTGTGTTTTTCTGTCAATATGGGGTGCTGTGTGTACATTAATGAGGAAAAAAATGAACTTAAATGATTTTAGCATATGGCTGCAATATAACAAAGAGTGAAAAATTTAAGGGGGTCTGAATACTTTCCGTACCCACTGTATACTTGGCACCGTGTGCTCACAGGAAAAATGAATAGTAAAAGAAAAGCAGTAGCAACACTCTGTCAAGACATCCCATATTCCGCGCCAACTGGACACACACGCCCACCTGTTACCCTTTTTATACCCCCACACACCTGTCCCTCCCCAAACCCCACATTGGACAGAACAGCACAGCATTCCCAGAAAATAGCGGCAACCAATACAAACACACTGCTTTGACATTAAGGCTGCACCCACTCAACACAGAACAGAGCATGAACACCAGCGGCTGGTCAGGGCCGCCACAATATCTATTTCTGCAAGCTTTTAATTCTGGTAGCGTGTGAGGTGAGCTGTTATTGTGTCAAGCACTTTTTCCACTGCTTTGTGTAGTGGGCTCTGCTCTGGTTTTAATTTATTTTATGTGCTTGATTTCACTGTTGTGTGTGGTGTCCTTATTGTTATGGTTTTATTTTGATTCTACTTTTACCTTATAGCTGCATCCTGTGTTTAGAAATGTGCGATATAAATAAGTTTGATTTGACCCTGGCTTTATGCTTTGAGTCAAAGCAAAATGATCCACAGTTGTACGCCTTGGTGTGTGTGTGTGTGTGTGTACCTGTCCAAAATCCCAGTTCATGGGAGAGATGTATTGTCCACTTCCTTTGTAGATGATTCCTTTTTCACTCATCACATACTCTTGTCTCTCCTTCTCATCAGGCAGAAACACCCAGTCATCTACAGGAAGGGTGATATAACGCACAAAGATTAAAAGAATTCCGATACTTCAGTAAAACTCCAGCATTCCCAATTGCGCTTATGTAAATGTACATCAGCATTATAAGCAAGATGTATCAAAAGTTATGATAACAATATAACCATAGGAACAGACAGACACACATGCAGACACACACCAACAAATCCACAGACTCACTTTATTCTCACGTCTGACAAAAAGCATCAGCTCCTCACATTAAAAAAGGTGGAGCCAGAGCATGCTGGTGAACTGACTAATGGCTGCAGCTCTAGGTCACTGAATGGCTCAGTGAGGATGACAAAGTGTGTTGGATACAATTAGGGAAGATGTTTTGAAAGAATGATGTTTCCTCCAACAGAGGAGACCTGAAGCTGCTCTGGAGATGTGACACTAACAAGGCTCTGCTGGTCAGTGTGTGACAGTTTGTCCTTCCATCTGCAGATAGACCTACCAGGACACCAGGGGTTAAAGAGCACCACTAGTGTCGGCAGCAACATCTCCTTGTCCCTGTGTCTTACAGACAGGGTGTACTCTCCTATGGGGGTGTTGGCTGGGGGGGTGATGGTCAGGGTCAAGATGCCTGTTTGTGGAGAGGAGCTCCTGCCAAGCTCTATCTTCCATAAGGTCTTTGCAGATGGTGAACGCTTCACATCGTCTGGAATTCCAAAGGATGACTTTGTGCCTCGGTCCTCAGACGGAGCTGATCCTGGAGAGAAGAGCCACTGAGGGAATTGAGCACTCAACAATATGAGAAACTGTACTGTATAACTCTTATTTAGACTTTATTTGCCCATTCTTCACCCAACAGATGGTGACATTTAACTTGTTTCACATTCAACCAAACGTTTTTGTAAAATGTCAGATTCCTGTTCAGTTTTAACCGCTTATGTTGCTGCTGTATTTTGGTTTTGTAGCAAAGCATAGATCTGCATTTTAAAATAGCTGATTCAAAGAGGGACTGACCAGTCACTGCGACAATGGTGAGTGGGTGGAGACCAGGATTGAACGGCTGTGTGAGCTGAAGGGTCACAGTGAAGGGCTGTCCTCGCCTCACGATCAGCTGAGCCACTGAGATTACACTGGTGTGGTGTTCAGTGTTGTTGGTCTTACTCTGGAGGTCCACATCCTTAAAGACTGGAGTAGAATAAAATAGAATAGAATATTTATTGTCATTGCACAAGAAGTACAACAAAATTGTATGCAATCCCATTCAGTGCAGAGAAGCAAGCTAATTATCTTGCATAAACATTTTCCTTGGTACAAAATTTAAAAAAGATAATTACTAGTAAATATACAAAAATATGTGCATATAAAAAAAGAAATGCAAAAAACATACAAGCATCAACAAAATCTCTGTACTTCAGACAGACAAAGACCTTTGTCAAGTTTTCAATCAAAGCTCTCTTTCATGTTGTGACAATAAAAAAAGATGGCGACCATTAATTAATTTGCATGTATCAAATGTCATTTTTAATGTTTTTCATCTCGTCCCTGTCTAAAATTTGTGCATAAGAGAAAAAGAGAAATGGTTGGGAGGTCAGGAAAAACCCATGACAGCATCATTTCACTAACACTGTAAATTCATAAAGTGAGAATATGGTCTTTAATTACATTATTGGCATTTAAGCTAACGTTTTTTTCTTTAATATTTCAGTGTAACTACATACATAGTATAATAATAGTGTTGAGAATGGTCATGGTAACACAGAAATCTTTTAAAAAAATCATTTTTAACCAGATTTAACCCTGTTTTAACCTGGATGCATCAATAGTTTTTGACTTGGAAATGAAATCACTGGGTACAATATGTATTCTGTTGCTATATAATGAATTTATACAACTGTTATTTACACTCACTGGCCACTTTATTAGGTATTGTATCCAGAGGTTTTCCTAATATTCTGACCCTCTCATATGTAGCTGGGAGGACAGAAATATAGAAAAAAAATCTAACTATAATATAGTTCAATACAATGCCACTGTTGACTATGACCTCAGTAATGAACACGATTGAATTTATACATTTATGACAATCTCACCAAAATCTGAAATGCTTTGAGTTTCATAAACACAGATGTTAAGTCAGAAGTGCTGCACTGAATTGCATACAGTTGTACAGGTGTACTGGCAGAAACTCAGGCAGGATGGAGAGGAGACTGGGAGGTGGTAAAAATATGCAAACACATCATTAGAGTGCAACATGTTGTGTGAAGACACAATACAATATGTATGTAACTGGGCAAGACAACAGTAACGCTCTCCTCTGGGCAGCAGCCTGGAACAGGCTCAATTTAAACTGAAACAGGAAAACTTTAAATGTCTACCCATCTCACAGCCTTCGAATGAGGCAAGGATTGTTTCACTGAGACAAGTTTGTGCAACATAAGATGAACATGACGTAAATGTCTGACATACCTTTACCTCAGATGACCCGTGGCCAATTCTGACATGTGCCAAAAAACTGTCAGAAAGGTTTGCCTCTCTTTGTTCCCTTTTAACCAACTGGATTAAGATATGCTAGAAGTTAGTGGAAAGCAAAAATCCTGGCAACACTGGCACAGTGTTCCAAGCAACTTCAGTACAAAGATAAGAGACCAACATGTTCTTAACCAACTTGATTTAGACATTAAAGCTGAGTCACAGCATCATTTCCAGAGGCAGTGGACAGCGAAAACCTCTTTTAAACTATGGTACTGTACACCAGTTGCTGAGCAGGGTGGGACAGGGAGCAGCCAAAGAGCCTGACATTTTCCTCAGGTGGGGGCAGACCAACAGCAGAACTTAAAAGATTCTCACACAGATCTGATCCTACCCGGTGGAAGTCTGAGAACAAACGCCATTAAGTTACTGACAATGTGCGATGCTTTTCTGTTTCTCTGGTTTCATCTCTACCAAGTTTTGGATCCCTCATACCTGTCAGTGAGACATTACAGTGGGCAAGAACTTTGTCGTATCACACCAGGACAATGACTAGACTGGCTGTTTTGTGCCCAAAACCTTTCAATCTTACAAATAATGAGATAAAACCAGTAGAAGGAAAATTTAAATACAGGTAAACCAGTGGCTCCCTAATTTTTGCTGCTGGGCCTCAAATATAAGTGAATATACAGTATTGTTCAAAATAATAGCAGTACAATGTGACTAACCAGAATAATCCAGGTTTTTAGTATATTTTTATTGCTACATGGCAAACAAATTACCAGTAGGTGCAGTAGATTCTCAGAAAGCAAACAAGACCCATCATTCATGATATGCACGCTCTTAAGGCTGTGCAATTGGGCAATTAGTTGAAAGGGGTGTGTTCAAAAAAATAGCAGTGTCTGCCGTTGACTGTACAAACACAAAACTATGTTGTACAAACGTTTTTGTTTCTAGGATTTAGCAATCCTGTGAATCACTAAACTAATATTTAGTTGTATGACCACAGTTTTTTATAACTGCTTCACATCTGTGTGGCATGGAGTCAACCAACTTGTGGCACCTTTCAGCTGTTATTACACTCCATGATTCTTTAACAACATTCCACAATTCATTTACATTTCTTGGTTTTGCTTCAGAAACAGCATTTTTGATATCGACGTCTGTGTGAAGCTAATCTATTTTCAAGAATCCCCCGCAAAGTCCCTCTGTTAAAAAAAAGGTACGTGCAGAAGAGGTTACAATTTGCCAAAGAACACGTCAACTGGCCTAAAGAGAAATGGAGGAACATTTTGTGGACTGATGAGAGTAAAATTGTTCTTTTTGGGTCCAAGGGCTACAGACAGTTTGTGAGACGACCCCCAAACTCTGAATTCAAGCCACAGTACACAGTGAAGACAGTGAAGCATGGTGGTGCAAGCATCATGATATGGGCATGTTTCTCCTACTATGGTGTTGGGCCTATTTATCGCATACCAGGGATCATGGATCAGTTTGCATATGTCAAAATACTTGAAGAGGTCATGTTGCCTTATGCTGAAGAGGACATGCCCTTGAAATGGTTGTTTCAACAAGACAATGACCCCAAACACACTAGTAAACGAGCAAAGTGTTGGTTCCAAACCAACAAAATTAATGTTATGGAGTGGCCAGCCCAATCCCCGGACCTTAATCCAATCGAGAACTTGTGGGGTGATATCAAAAATGCTGTTTCTGAAGCAAAACCAAGAAATGTAAATGAATTGTGGAATGTTGTTAAAGAATCATGGAGTGGAATAACAGCTGAAAGGTGCCACAAGTTGGTTGACTCCATGCCACACAGATGTGAAGCAGTTATAAAAAACTGTGGTCATACAACTAAATATTAGTTTAGTGATTCACAGGATTGCTAAATCCTAGAAACAAAAACGTTTGTACAACATAGTTTTGTGTTTGTACAGTCAACGGCAGACACTGCTATTTTTTTGAACACACCCCTTTCAACTAATTGCCCAATTGCACAGCCTTAAGAGCGTGCATATCATGAATGCTGGGTCTTGTTTGCTTTCTGAGAATCTACTGCACCTACTGGTAACTTGTTTGCCATGTAGCAATAAAAAATATACTAAAAACCTGGATTATTCTGGTTAGTCACATTGTACTGCTATTATTTTGAACAATACTGTACAACTTATATGAACAAAGGTAAACATGGCAGACAGTCAGTGAATGCATCTGCTCATACTGTACATAAAATATATAGTGTAAAATACCAACTTTAATACTGTTAAGAAGCTGTGATGCACCAGTCAGGGCCAGATTCCTGCTCTTCACTGTCAGTCTTTGTGAAACAGAGCATGATGTCTAATGACTGCACTGCAGCTGACAGCTAATCTGCTACTGTAGTTTATGAGCAGGATAGTCCTGCACATTCCACCATCGCAAGGTGAGAATCAAACCTGTGATGCTTGATTGCAACAGGAATGCAGATTAACTCACTTGTATCTTGTCTTGAACTGTGGGTGTGTTTGTGTGTATGTGACAGTGACACACTTATAATCCCATACTGCCTCAGTTAACCGTCATAGTATGCTGTTTATTTAGGTTACATTTAATGTTACGATGTGTTGTGATTATTTATTGTTTGATGGTTGTTGCCTTCAGGGGGCGGAGCCAGGTTTGAAATACACTGAGGTCCTGAGTCTCCTACAGACACTGGGTTAAGTCTGTAGTGTAAAATGTTTTCACATTTAGATTTGTTTCAAGTGTCTGTTGTTTAATATAATGTGTGTAAATGTCATCCTCTAGAGTTAACCCTTCTCCACATTGTCAGGAACACAGCTGTGGTCGGGAAAGTTGCCAAACAGCATCGACTGCGCTACATGTAGACGGTCTTAACATGCTATTCAACATAGTCATCACAGTGTTGCTAGACTTACATTTCTACGCAACTTTTACGTAGTGGTTGCTATTGGATACCGCGCACACACACACACACACACACACACACACACACACATAGCATTACACTGAGCTGATCAATACAGTGCATCTGATTTCAAAACTTTATCACATCACAGACAGGAAGGTTGTGTGGACATATTCTCTGGGCTGTTCAGTAACTAAACTAAACAACATAACAAATAAATGCTAATAATATGTAGCAACTAGCTAAACAATGTGGTACGTAAGTGCCTTGCAGAGGAAACATTTGCAAAGCAAAGAAAGAAAAATTAAAACCACTATTTTAAATGATGAGTTGGTCACAAATGATCTAGTTCTTTGGCACAAATGCCAAAGAAATGCTCTTGTCTTAACTCACAGATTCATAAACTTTCTCCGTGCACAGTGAAGAGCACATTTGGTCCAGATTCTAGAAATAATCATACCGACCAGTACTACACCACCTTTAACTATGACCTCAATAATAAATGTATAATTAAATGTATACATTTATGACCATTTCACCAAAAGCTGAAACATTTTGAGCTTTATAAACAGATGAAGAGTTGCATTGACATGTATACAGTTATAATAAAATGGCCAGTCAGTGTATATATCAACTACTTGGTGGCCAGTTTTTAAACATATACACCAGATTTTGTGTAAACACTTTATGGACACAACACTAAACATTATTATTATTAAGTCTTTGCATTGTCACAAACATTTCTGTTATTTTAATTATTTGTGTACTGTCTTGTATGAAACCCCTCTTGTGCTGTGCAGCCTTACACCCTCCTGCAGACAATGCAATAGTGGCTGATTTGTCAAAACATTTTGCAACCACACACCATCTTAAGCCTTTAATACAACTATAAAACATGCAAGCAGGTTTGGTTCGTCTTACTGGAAGCAAAAACCCACACTGGACGTGACTTGGCAATAAAGTTATATAAAGCAGAAATATTACCTAAAAGCCTTGATGTACTTACCGGGGTCTTTATTCTCCGCTGCCATCTCGTTGTCTCTCACAGTGGCAGGTGTGCGGACAGTGAAACCACACCGGCAGCAGCACTCGGGTGGATTAGTATACTCCTGCCAGGCCCAACCCCATGTCAGATTAACATGGGAAAACATCTTGCTGCCTGGATCATGAACCAGGGTGTGGGCGTTTAAACGGTGCGGCGCCATCAGGCTGTGAAGCATTAAGATTCCACACAGGATCAACTGTTTTAGTGGACTGTATGTACCAATTGCAAAGGGACTTGTGGTACAATGACTGTCTTTACATGGGTGACTGCTAGTCTACAATGGCTACAGCATAGCTGTGGTATTACACCTGAAGCCAAGGTGCTGTGGAGCGTAAACATCTGATCAGGAAAAAGAGGCAAATGAAACAAAGCATAAAATGATAAATAAACTTTCTCATCCTTCTCCGTCCTGCTGAGGACACTGGAGACTGAAATAAACCAGACCGACCCGACACAACTCCTGTGGTCCCTCCACAAAAATAACCAAGCTGCCAAAAGTTTTGTTTTGTTTGTGGTCCTAGTATCGTTGGTTCGAGCAGCTCAGTTCAGGAGGCTCAGGTGATCCAGATCCCTTAGTTATTCTAGACTACTGGGGGCCCCATGATGCTCTGAGCTCCTCCCTTCTCCATTTTATTTTGATATGCCACCATTACATGTCACTGTGTGTCTCCTCTCTCTCTCTCTCCCCCTGCAGGTTGCCCTGGCTCTAGAGCTCTACATCTCTGACTAGCAGTCACCAGCCACATCGACCTGATCAGTGTTTGATTGTTGTGTCTTGTTGCTTTTCTTCTTCTCTCTCTCCTCTATCCACTCACCCCAACCGGTCGAGGCAGAAGGCCGCCCACCAAGAGCCGGGGTCTGTCAGAGGTTTCTTCCGTTAAAGGGAGTTTTTCCTCCCCACTGTCACCAAGTGCTGCTCAGGGGGGTTTGTTGGGTTTTCCCTATATAATAATAATAATAATGTCTAGACCTGACTATGTAAAGTGTCCTGAGATGACTGATGTTGTTAACTGGTGTTATACAAATAAATAAAACTGAACTGCTCTGTGGCCACAAACACAAGTTATATCTTAACCTCAGATGAATTTTTCTGCTCACATTAGCTCAAAGTTAGTTTTATCCTGGTTTAGTTTAATCAGAACTCACAAGAGCAAATAGTATCCATCACACTCCTCGCCTCCACCGTAATCACATTTTAAATTTAGATCTTATTAGTAATTTGTGTCTTCTTGCTGTTCAGTTTCAAGGTAAAGTGGTTTGTCATTTTAATTAGGTGACATTTTAAATAATACTTCACTTGGACTTTTATAATCAACAATCTACACCTGTTGAACTTCAACACATTATTTAATGGTGCTTCTTTCTACAGAAGAGTTCAGGTAATGACCAGTCCTTTGTTTTTGTTACTTAATATATGCACACGTGTGTTTAGAAATCTTTTATATGCATCCCACACACACACAACCCCACACCCACCAGTGTAGCCATTCATTCCATATACACACTGGTGCATAACCACACTAGCTGTCCTGCTGGATAAGGTCTGTGGCTTTCTGCAGGTTGTGATCCACAGCTCCATCTAAGAACTGAACCCAGGTCAGCTCAGATTCCCCACACACATGACTGGACCTGGAAGGGCAGAGAGGACAGGAGCATTGTGAAAACTGGAAATCAGTTCTCAGTGATCTTACTGTCTTTGCAGGTAAAGTTCTATCAGGTGGATCAGCCGGATTCAAGCCTGAAGACAAACTGGCTGGGTCTGATTTTCCTCTGCAACACGATGAACTGCGATCAGATGACATCACTCATTGGTTTCACTTTCCCTTCCCTTCCTTACACATTCCAGAGATTTGTACAAACCGAACTTACCAAAAACCTTGCAAAGTAAATCAAAATACAATTATTATGTGTGTAGTTTTAGGTGGCGGTAAATACTGTAGGTGAGTGAATTTTACCTGATAATCTCCAGAACTTTCTTTAAAAGCACTGCCAGTTTAGACACCTGTAGAAAAAAAAAACAACCAAATTTATGTGTGTACTTTTTTTATTTTGGAAAAATTACAATGTGCGATATCTGAAACAAACGGGGGTTGTTTTCTAAGGAAGGAGGGGCAACAAAGGCGTGAGCACCTTCAGCTGCCAGGAAATACAGGAAATACATGTACTTAAAATTTGCATGAAAGCTTGTGCTGAAACTCACAAGCTTGGACATCTTACTGAATTATGTATAGAAGCCGCTTGCACAACCAATTAACAGTGTTTAACGACTGAATGAAGGCAACCAAGTGCTACTTGACCTGCTGTGACTGCGCCAGACTCCTCGGCTTTGTTCAGTAAAATTAGGTTACACAAGTCGTGGCAGTCAAGCAGAGAACAGACAGCTGCTGCTGCCAATCAGTAAGCACCTTAGTTTTACTGCACAAGCCATCGCAGCTGCATCTGTGCAAACTGTTTCTAATGCACCTACTTCTGAAAGAAGAAATAATCCATCTGTAGAATAAACTGTCACCAGGGCACAGTTCCTAAACCAGTAAAACCAAAAATATTTTCCTGAATAGATACTAATGGGAAACTTATTTTGTAACATGGATTTTAAGGTAAATTTTAATGCAAAGTATTTTAATTAATGCAGAGATATTCTATTCTAAAGCATCTTTATCTAAAGTGGTGGCTAAAACAAGCACAGCTCAACTCTGTCAAACTGAATTTGTGCATCACATGGAACCTGTTCCATCCGTGCAGGAGTTTGTTTGGCAGCTGGACTTAAGATGAATTTCCATCGGTTGTGTGTCGGTGCTGCGTGTCATGAACAGAGCCTGTGACGCTTTGCGGTTCTCTCTAAGACAGGATGGCCAGGCAAAGGATTTTACTTACCTTCATGACATGTTGGAGGTCGGACTTCACCCACAGTTTAATGGGAAGTTTGTCACATTTTACACATCAAACTAACTAGTGTAATGCAAGCGAGTCTCACTTTGAACTGTTGAGTTGCATTGTGGGTAATGCAGGTGCCAGGTTTAGACAAGAAGATTGTTTGATCATTTGGTAAATCAATATTTGATGAGTATCAGAAGTGAGAGTCTTCTTAGTTTCAGCTTATGATTCAAAAACCTCACTGACATCATTTTTCCTGCCACTGTATGCTGTTTAAATATTGCAATTTGAGGGTTAATAAATACAAATCGTTTTATATTAAACCAGTTCCTATAAATAAAGACCAACTGGAATTAAACTTCTCTGTGTAATATGACTCCTCCACCTCACTATGCAAACCGCCTTCAGATGATTTCTGTTGTGATTTGGTGCTATACAAATAACGTGTGTGTCTTACATTGTTCTCTACACCACTGTAGTCCATGGGGGGGTAGAGACACAGAGCCAGATCATCGACACTGAGGAGAACAGACAGACACAGACAGTGCTCAAGGCTGTGATCTCTGTGGAAGTCACGCCAGAAACAGATTTCTCATTGTGACAAATCGTAAAGAAAAGCAGCTAAATGAGTCACTGTGCAGAACAAGAATCATTTTTCTACGTGAGGTCTCAGGTGACACGTTCCACTTTACTGTCTGGATGTGCATGTAATGTGAACAAGCACAAACCTCTCTAGCACAGAAGTACTCAATCGGAGCTGCCAGATTTTTGGTTAGCATACATTTCCACGTTCACATTACCTGTTTCAACAGCAGGCACCAATAAACCAAAAACATTTCATTTTTGTACTAGTTTAGTTCTGTTTACTTCTTTTTCAATCTTCAAGTCGGGAAACCAATTTCTGTTAGAACAATACAGGTGTAAAGAAATGCATAGTCAGCTCGACATCACAGCTATCCATCACTACCTACAACACAATATTACAACCTTGTTTGTGTGTGTGTGTGTGTTTGTGCTTGTGCGTCTACCCAGGACTGATTTCCTTGGTGATGTCAGCCAGGTCATCGAGCTGGGCCACGTTCTGAGCCACACCGACATCCCCGTTGATTCTGACGGCAGACATCAGCTTCCTCAGGCACGCCGCTGACGCCTTCATCAGCCCCTGGCACGGACCAATCACACGCCGATCCTTCTCTGACCAGTACATGTCCCGGTTGCCTCGAGGTTCATCCTCTTCCTGGTCATCGTCAAGAACATCACTAAACGGATCCTGGACCTCGGACAACGCCTTGGGCGGGGGTTGTATACGATCAGTATATAGAGGGGCTTCAGACAGTATTTAAAAATTTATTATAGGGCTGCTGCTAATATTCTCCGTCAATATTGAGGGGGCTGGTGATATTTTTAATCTAATTTTAATTTTTATACAGTCAATAATGCACAAATAAATGGTAAATACAAGCTATACCCACTGTATGAGAACTCTTGGTGTGCGTGTCTGTGTGTACCTGTTCAATTTCCTCTATAGCGTCTTTCACCACTCCACTCTGAGCAGACAGAACCACCAGAACTGCTGCTTTATTATCTGCGGAACACACGTTTTCATTAACAAACCTGGAACTAAAGCTCCAAAGTCATAAGCAGAGAAACATGTTTGAAAATATTCATATCTCTCTGCATCTGAGTGAACTGTCATAGAAAATGAGCAGATAATTGATCATAGATTGATTAAGCCTTTATGCCACATTAGCTCCTAAATACACACTGTATGACTGACGTCACCATAACCTCATTTGTGGAATGGTAAAATCGTCTTACATGCCCAAGACAACATCTTTATACTTCAGTCGCCTCAACAGTCCAAACCCCAAAGACATTCAGTTTAAAGTGAGAACAGAACAGATGTCAACCTGGGATTTTAGAAGCTCGGGTTTACTCAGTAACTGACTGGACTGATGAACCGAGGCGCTACATTTTCTGCTGCTCGGCTGCTACAGTTTGAACATATTAAGCTCTGGAATGAGGCCGACCTTGTCATTTTTCAAAACTAGACCAAATGCTGCAGCTCTGCTCCAATTAAAAGCCTTGTAAATTAGGACTGTGGAACATCAGCAGCACTACAACTTACTTTGATTTACAAGTGAAAAAACATCCCAGTTATCACTGCATTTAGTTTTCATTTGTGAAAAGAAACCTTTCATTTACACAACCTCTGCTGCCTCTTAACTGGGGAGTTCACCTCACCTTGGTCTTTATTGTTTTTCATGTTTTAGTTATTGTTATCAAAACCTCTATTCACTGGCTAACTTTCAACACATGTCAGATGAATTTAAAAAACTAATAAACACTTACTATTCATAGAGACTACACTCCTACTGATACAGGATAAGTATGATTTATCCCCAGGGTGGACTAAACACTGTCATTCACACACAGTCTTCTGCTGATTTTAAATACAATCTACAGCAACTGGGCTTGACAAACATACAGTCTGACTTTCAGCACAGCTTGGAGGCTGATGTTAGAGCTACTGCTATTACCAACAGCGGCACTAACACGTCTACTGCCACTCACACTGTCAAGTCAATCAGAGACGAGAATCAAGTAGGTTAGTGTTGGGCAGTATTTTACCAAGTCTGAGTCAACTGACCTTGTGGCAGGTGGGCGAGCTGGTCGCAGGCTGACCACACACCTCCTGTCGATGTCAACTGTTCCTGGGTCAGACTGGCGGAAAGCAGAGGAAGAGGATGAGAAGAAAGGACGGAGAGGTCGGATGAAAAGACAAGGAGCAGAAAGAAAACCTTTACTACAACATCCTGTTGTTGTTTTGCTGAAAACAGAAAACCACTGATTCACTGCACAGAAAAAACCCTGAACATGTGTTAAAGTTTACAGCAGGTGCTGCTTGAGACAAAGTGTCTATTAAACATGAATTTACTGAATGCATTGAGTTTCCCTGTGTGGTTGTTGTACAGTGAATTAAAGGAGATTTAAGTGGCACCGATCGACACAAAAGACCCTTTAACGTCAAAGTGAAAACATCTGTACAGAAAGAGTCAGACACATTAGATGTACCCTCTAAAGGTGATTTTGGTATAATGTCTTATTAAGATGGGTTAAACAAGTATTTTGCATTTTATATTTTTGGTTCATTTAGATCACCTTCATTTACCTTGATGGGATATTTGTCTGTTGATTATGGATGAGCTTAACTAAAACGTCTTATGATATCTTATATCAAGTCTTTGTACTGTATCACTGTGTGTGTACCTCTGCAGCGGTGAGCTCAGTATGACTTCCACCAACTGGGCGACTCCCTCCAGAACAGAGACAGTGGCGTCTCTGACCTGTCGCCGCAGACTGACACCTGGGACACAGAGGAGAGACGACAAGAACACAACATTGAGTCAGACTGACACAGACGAGCAACAAGCTTTGGGTAGCATGGATATTCAAGATTAAGTCTGAGTTTCACTGGTGAGATTTAACAGAAAGTGACATTTCTGTAGCGAAGGGGGTGGGGGGTGGGGGGTACCTTGGCTCTTAGGCAACCAGTAATACACTGTGGACAGAGTCAGAACACTCTTCAGGATGGACTCTGCCAACTTCTCTCCATCCTGCACAGAGTGAAGGAAATACAGAAAGAAAGAAAGTCAACATTAAAAGTGCGACTAAAGAGCTTGTGAAATAGTGGAATTACTTCCTAGTATTAAAATGATCATTGGATACATGTTCATTCTAAAGCATCAACGTTTTGTACACGTCAACAGTCCAAACGTTAGGTGTAATATTACACCTGAGCTGTCACTGCTCTGTCCAGCGTGAGACCTGCCTGATCCACCGTGCCATCTAATCACTAACAGCTTCTGATAAAAGACTTCAGATAGAACGGTCCTGTGTATCCTTTCTCAAGCATCCTCAGGAAGCCTCCGCACACCTCTGTGTGCACAGGCAAGCATGCAGGCAAGCATAAGTCTTTAATAGAGGACAAGTTCAAATTTATAGTTAAAGCAGGGCAGAGCAGCGAGACACGATCAGATAAATGAATTGGTGTGTACCCAGTGTGCAGAGATGAATCCATTAAATGCTGTGTGCCTCTAACTGGTAAAATATTAGCTCATTATGCTTCTAGTAATTGTCTGACCTGTTGCGATGGCAACGGAGGCTTGGAGAAGGCCAGGCTGAGTTTAGTGGCTTCCTGGGACACAGCACTCACTGCCTGGTCTGAGGACAAAGGAGACAGTTACATCACATGTGGACTAGTTCTTTAATTCCAGACAGTAGAACTATAATAATTATGATAATTATAAAAGGGTGGCCATCATTTCTAAATGACTGTGGGGAAAAACTTTACCCTACCTAAAGAAGAAAACAGAAGCAAAAGAAGTCACAGAAATGAGTGCCAACAGAAATACATTTATGAAAATATATATTTGATATACTACGATGTGTAGCAGGAGGAGGCGCAACAAGACCAGAAAGTAACTCTTACTATTCATGGGACCTAAACAGAGATGTCTACATGGTGAAAGAGTAGTAGGAGGGAGGGAGGGTGGTTATGGTACGTTTTACTCAACTCAGAGTCTCCCAGAAGTTGGACAGGTTGAAGGCTCCATCTGTCTCATTGGACTCTCCATCTGCAGGAGAAAATGAGCATCTAGTCAGAAAAGTCTTCATATTTTCAGGTCAGATCTGTGGACGGATGCCACACTCACTCGACAAAGTGAAACCGATATTTAAGTTATGACTAATTTTGCTAAATATCTACAATGTTTGACAAATAAAAACACATTTACTTGTATAATTTTCAAGGCAATATCTCAGAATTCTGCTCCTATTGATGATAATAAATGGCTAGAGCTGCAACAACTACTCCAGTAATCAGTAAGTCTGCATTAAGTGTTTCAGTTGTTTAATCAAGCAAAAATGCCAAACATTTTCTGGTCCAGCTTCTCTAACGTGTAGATCCACTGTAAATCACTGCAAACTGAATATATTTGGCTTCTAGTCAAACAAAACAAGACATTTTAGAACATGACCTTGGGTCTTAAAATCTGTGATGGCATTTTTATTAACAGCTTTTGACATTTTCTAGGAAGAACAGTTAACCATTTACTGAAAGAACAATTGACAAATTACTTGATTTCTTAAAGTCCTTAACACCACCATAATGACAGATTTAAGTATTATGTAATTTTGGCAGTATGCGTGTTATCCATTTTGTGTGTTGTCTTGTTGTTGGATGACACTAGAGTACAGACAGTGAGACCATATAATGTTGTATAGTGTAGATTTGACACCTTTTGTAATTGAATTTTAGCATCATGTCTCATGCATCCATGTGATTATGGCATGTTTCACTTGATCAGGCAAAAACACACAGTAATGTGATAAAGTGTTTCCTAAAACATAAATAGAAAACGTTTACACTCAGAGATGGGGTGTACTCCAACTGAACACCAGCTGCCAGTTTAGAAACTGGTCTGGAAACGTGTTGATTCAACATTATGGTCATTTTAAGACAGCGCAGACCTGCTACATTATACATTACTAGACTAGATTCAGCTCTCGGTGTGGTCACCCCGATAACATGGGTGGTGACGTCTGTCTGTACCAGACAACAGTGGTGCTAGTAGTTAGCGGATATAGTGAGGTAACGTTAACATTACAGAAAGTCGTTAACGGATAACACGGGCGTGTGATAGACTGGCGACCTGTCCAGGATGGACCCCCGCCTCTCGCCCAATGTCAGCTGGAACTGGCTCCAGTCCCCCGCGACCCTATTCAGGAATAAGCGTTATAGATAATGGGTGGATGGAACTTAGCGTACGATAGCATAGCTGAGTCTTTGGCTTTATATTCGTGCTTTAACATAGCGAACATGTCATATTTACCTCTAACTCGGTCTCTGATGCACTGGATGGAGTTCAGTAGGTTTCGTAGAGACACACAAACATTCCCACCGGACGTATTAGCGCTCATGGCACCAACTTTTCCTGACAGCTGAATTCTTGCGTGTTGTGGAACTAAAGAAGGGCCGGAAGTTGACCGGGGAACAATTATAAGGAGACAACTAGTGATGGGTCCGGCAACACCGATGCGTCACCACATGCGTCGAGCTCATAGAGCAAAACCCCGTGTCGGTGCGCGTATCGCTTTAAGAAAGTCACGTGACCGATACAGGAACTGTTTCGAACTGACACTGCCGCGCCAAACTGTGTTTATAAGGAAGCGCATATGTCAACGGGATACATCTGCCAAAACGATTCTCTGATCTTTTGCGGTCCATCGTCACATTCATCAAGAATTATGGAACAGTCTCAAGCCAAAAGAAAGGTTTCCGCCGTGTGGGACCATTTTGATCTCGTATCGGAAAATAAGGTATTGCCAGGTCCCAGGATCCTATGAGATACTGGGACAACCAAAAGGCAATCTATCCAAACCTCTTCTGACTTGCCTTACAATTTCTCTACACTCCAGCCTCATCTGTGCCGTGTGAGCGGGTGTTTTCTATAGCTGGAGAAGTTGTATCAAAAAAGCGTAACAGACTCAATTTCAAAACGTTGGAAAAACTTATTTTTTTGAATAAAAATTTGTAAAAAAAAAATCCCAGTCCACAAGCATCCTCATTCACAACACGTTCATTTAGATTTTCACGTTATGATACATGTTCACATTATTTATTGACTGTATCTAAAAATATCAAGGAAATTTTAAATTTAAATGAAGATATGAAATAATACAATATAAAATACAATGACTTAAATTATATTATTGTATATATTAGGTCATCAAATCAGTGTCAGTTGAGTCTGTCAACTAGGTTGCCTGTAGGGATTTTTAAGGTCCAGCAGGAGTCAGTATTCAGTGACACAGTATCGACACAGTATCAATACAGTTTGGCAATGTGTCGAAACGCTTCATGACGCCTCATCTACCCATCACTAGAGACAACCGACCTATTGAAAAGATGCATGACGGGAACTGCGAGGGAAAATACTGATAAACAATTTATTTTGTATGAAGATAAACTCAGCCTATAACGCAGAAAAAAAAACAAAACAAGGCAAAACTAGTGATGGATAGATGAGGCGTCATGAAGCGTTTCGACACATTGCCAAACTGTATTGATACTGTGTCGATATGTTCCATATGTACAAAATTACATAGGAAGAAATGTATAATAATTTATTGAGACATTATGGACTGTAAAAGGAAGTGTGGCAAAATCAACAACCACCTTATCAATACAAGAAAAACAATTTGTTACAAATTCTAAAGATGAGCATTTTCTTACCATCAGTATGTCAGTAATCAGCTCCACTCTTTATGATGTCAAATAGAATCTCAGAATGTAACAGGGTTTTGCGGATGTGTCGGTTCATATTCCTCAGAGTCTCATACTGGACTCTGCTCAGTTTGTGAAGAAAAACTCTAAACTGGTTTTCCACTATTCTTTGGTGATTCCTTGCATGGCACAGTGAAGGTATGTTAAACTTATGTGTTTGTGAGGGTTTCCTCCAGTTGCTGACTTGCAGGTTAAGTTAACTAGACAGGCAATTTGATTATTGTTTATGCACTGTATTTGTGATGTTTAATTAATATCACAGTCCAATCAGTGTTATTAAATAAGCAGAAGGACGTTGTTTTTAATGTCTCTGCAGTACATCCACATACCAGTGGGAGCCAGTGTGCGCCTGCCGTTTGAGACCGTACTGGGTTTCTTTCAGTAGGCACAGCCATGTGGGGCTGTTCACATATGACAGATGTACTGAACAGAGAGGAACATTTATAGAATAGGTGTTTGTCTTTCAGGAGGAGAGGGAGATGTGGGATGAATACAACACTCAGGCTGACTGGTGGTCCACTGCTAAGTCTCTCTGTTCCCATCACCAGGCCTGAATGAGCTTTGAAAACTCCAGCACAAGTTGAAATTTTTACTTCTGCCTAATAAAAAAAACTAAAAAAAGAGAGTGAATGATGATGAACCAATCAATATGGATGCTGTTGGACCTGTTCTAAAAATTCTGAACAGTAACTCTACTATCAGTTTTAACCACTTGGTAGGAGAACCAGATATGTCACACTCAGTAACCTTCGCCAGATGGTGGTGGCAGGTTGCATCTTAGATCACAGTGCTGAGACGACTGCAAAGGGTTAAGGATCCCTTCCCGATTTTTCCTCCCAGTCTTACAATTTTATTATCATGAATTTTCTTCACATTCCTGGGTTTGTCACTCTGCTAGCCACTTCCAACAGTTCTGTAATATCAGAGGAAGACACACCTCGGTGCCATTATAATTTCTAGCAAGCAGCTCACATAGTATGAAGCTAGCATTAAACAATATGCTAGCACATTAGCTCATTAGCAGTAGTGCTAGCTTGGCTGCACATGCGAAGGTCCTCACAAAGGCACACAGACATACACAGATTAGGAAATCGACCAGTCTAGACTGTAGAGAACAACCTACTGAATATATTTTATACTGTCAAACTACAGTTTCTCCAGGGACCTGTGTGTGTGTGTGTGTGTTACACCCTTTAGTCCAACTTTTTTTCTCATTTCTACCCTCAGTCTTTTTTCATCTCTTGCTTTGCCTCTCTCCATCTCTTTCTCCTTCAGCCATGTGTTTTATGTCTCAGGCAGCTTTGCCTCTTAAACACTTGGATGATTTCAGGGGAGACAAATCATTTTATCTCTCCTTCTCTCCCCCTCTTCTTCCTTATTTCCTTCCTGGTCTCTTTTTTTCTCTGCTCCCTTCGTTCTGCTCTCTCAGGTGTGATCTATGCAGCAAGTCACTGTCTAGACAACCGATTATACCGAATAATGAGGGAAAGGGTGGGAGGGAGATAGACTGAGCGTGAAGAGGGAAAGAATGGGAGGAGGATGTGAAGGAAAGAATGGTGTTGTGTCAGACAGAGAGAGAGGGAAGTACAAAGGTGAAGAAGGAAGGAGAGGCATTAAAAACAGCAGGAAAAGCAACGAACCAGGAAAAAGGACCAGAGGAAATGTGACAGAAGAAATTAAAGGTGAAGGGATAAAAGAATAAGAGGAGAGATGAAGGGGATAAAAGAAAAGAAAGACAAAAGATGGAAGAGGATGAGTGACCTGGGACAAACATCATAAGAGAAAAGAAGAAATATGGAAATAACAAACAGACAGGAACAAGCAAAGGAAGATGAAACTGAAAGAAAGAACAGAAAAGAAAAATGAAATGCTTAACAAAAAATCAAGTGACTGAATGAGAAGAAAAGAAAAAAGAGAACAAGCATGTTAGACACACACACACACACACACACACACGCACACACATTTGACTTTCTATGGTTACAAGGATACTCACATATAATGCATCCTCTGGCCCCAAATCCTAATTAAACTTGATCCTAAAACCAGCTTCAAACATCTTTTAAGGACCAACATAAACATCATCACAACGATGGTATTGAGCTAAAATATGTCCAACCAACCAAAGAAAGACATACACACACACACACACTGAACATCACTGAGCCAGAAAAGAGGCACAGTCTGATCTGGTGTGTTAGGAAACCCTATCAGTCACACAGGCTTTACTGTGTGTGTGTGTCTTAGCTCAGCAATGAGTAATCAAGTCCAAAAACCACCCAGAAACACACACACACACACACACACACACTGTAATAGGCTTATCCATAGCTGCAGCTTCAGCCTTTAAACTGGGACTTTGCTGTTTAGAATTAAAATGAAAGAACATTCTCTATCTGCTTAAACAACAGAGTCTTCTAAAAAAAACCTTCCTACGCGTGTGAGTGTGCGAGTACATTCTCATTTTGTCTGTCTTCAAAATTCAGACCAGGAAAAAAACAGATTAGAATAACATGGGTTGTGAGACAGTCGTACAACAGACAGACAGACAACAAGGCTGACAGTCAGCACAGATATACCTTTATTTTGAAAAACAAGCAAACAGCAAGACAGACAGATGACAGAGAGACAGTGTGTAAGAAATAAAGTTACATAGTATGACAGCAGTTTGCAAAACAGATGGTCAGGCAATGAAACGTCACTGGTTTACTCAGACAGCCATTTATAGGCAGGCAGGCAGCATGACAAACAGACTGTCAGTTATTTCTTTGGAGACAAGCAGTTCAGTCAAAAAGGCAGGTAGTAAGGCAATGAGACAATTACTGGTCCAATAAGACAAAGACATTTGTTTAGACAGGCAGACACCTGAGAGAACAACAGTAAGACAGACAGACAGACAGACTGTCATTCATTTATTTTGAGCTATATATGGCTGTTTATTGTGGCCCTGCCACTCATTTCAGTGAGACCTGACATGTATGCAGACACAAATGACAACATGTGGCCTGGCTGACAGAAACACACGTCCTGATGAATGTAGTCAACATGCACTCTTATGCACCACTGGAGGTGGTTAAACTCAGCCCACTAGAAGGCGATGCCAACCAGTTGATGCTCACAGCCACCACAGCAGTGCTCATTTATTTTATTTGAGTTCGGAGCAGTTCTAATTTGGGCCCAAGTTTTTCAACTGCATCGTTGTCTGAATGAAGAGGTGACAAAGTAACATAAATATGGCTGTACATGTTCAGCTTTGTCGATCTGGTCAGCCATGTTTGTTTGGTCATTAACCCAAACTGAAGAGCTGACCTGAGCTTGTTGTTTCATGCTACAGCATCACTAGCTGCAGCACTCAGACTATAGCTTGCACATGTGTGGTGTTGGGATTTATCAGGTGACAAGATCGAGAGCACAATGATGAGGGAAATCGATCTTACATAGCTCAAAGCCTTTTGCACTTGTGTGAAGTATGTTTAAGGCCTAAGGCTGCTCCACTGAGGCATTAGGGATCCTGATGCAAAGAGCTCAGGCAAAACACACAGAATGCAACGCTGTACTTTACTTTGCTCCGTCCAGCTGTTCAGGTGCCGGTTGTTATGAAATTACAATAAATCAATGCTATAAAACTTTCCCATCAAGTGGAAATAACAGCAAATCGAAGGGATTATCTCTGCACTGCTGCCAGGCTGTTCACTGAGTACAGGTCACAGGAATATCTGACAACACCTGTCCACATGAACATACGTTTTGAAGCATATTTCTGCTACAAAAATGTTTGAATAAAGTCGCATACTGTAGCTTTAAACTAGGCAGTGTTGTTATCACATTGCACTGTGTTCACCAATAAATTGCTGTTAAGTGCAACAGTTTGAAGGACGTGTTGATCTGATTGTTGCAACAAAAGATAAAACTAC